GGCCTTATCGGCATTAACTCGATTTCTCATTCCACATTTAGGTGAACTTGGGATTTTTGTATTTTATCGTCTGTTTCAAAATACAGTACAGCTGTTTAAAGGGTGGCTTCAACCACAGGTGCTTTTCCAGTTCAAAGTTGTTTTCGCTCTAGCAGCCATGACGTTTCTATTATAGTTTGAGAGGATAGCCATCGTTCTGCTGCTGCATCTTATTGGCTTGCTTCTGGCAATTTGTGGTTCACTTGGAAGAGACTAAAGTTTTCAGTGGTAAAAAAAGAATATGAATTTATATTTCCTCACATGATTTTTTACATGCAAGTACATGGAGCACCAGTCTCGGGTATACAGCTAGAAGCTTAAAAGTATATATATATATATATATATATATATATATATATATATATATATATATATGTTTTTCTATATGCTGTCATGTATGAGATTTAACCTATAGGCAAACAAATGTATCATTATAGGTGGATTATTGAAACAGCATTTGTAAAGGAATGACTCTGTCCTAAGCTTTTTGATCTTTTTGTTAATGGTTTCTCAGCATAGTTTCTGTGAATCAGTGCATTCAAAGCAACTGCATGGGAAAAAAGGACTGTGTTTCTGGAGCCTCAGATCATCAAAAAGCTCAGTTTTAACCCAACATTTTCCGATGTTGTAATCTTCTCCTAACCATCTTGCCTTCACCTTGGAGCCATTAGGACCTTCTAGTGTTACCTGGCCTGTCTGTGGCCCAGCGGAGCCCCAGCCTTTGTCCAGGCCCGGGCAGCAGGTGAATAGGATGCCCATACGAGGGGGCCTCTCAGCCCAGTTACACCTGATACCTGGCTCAAGCCCCCACAACAACACCCACCCAAGAAACCCTCCAAAGTCCCTACTGGACCCCTAAAGCCCTCAACTCCTCCTCCTCTTTACCGCCTGCCAGCTGGCTTTTCCGTCACAGACACCCACCGAGAATGAAGGATGTTATTGTTGACGGCTTTGCCCCCCACTGAGTGTATGTTATGTGTATGTTCTCAGTTCTCTTTTTCTGTAGAGGTTATGTGGGCTCTGCCTGAGCCTCATATATTTGTGTGAACTCTGTGTTCACCTTTGAAGTTCTCTATCATGCATCTCCTCGCCTCCCCCCCCCCAGTCTCCCCTCCGCTGCTTTGATTCCCTTTCTTGTTACGGGGAGTTGGCTGATCCACAGATAAAGCCACTCAGTCTCTACTATGCTACATGTTACTGAGAGCTTAGAAGGTTCAGGTGCAGAGCAAATGGAGAACCTTTTTTTCACCTTGTGCAATTTGTATTCAGTTTTACCTAGTATAGGACATTTTGGATGAAACTCCTCCTTAATATATGAGTACAGAAAAGGGATGGATGGTTGGAAAGCTGTCCCATTAAGTGTGTTTGCACTGGATCATTGGTGTGCTTTCTCTCTCCACAAACTGTCTATTGCTCCCACTTTTTACTGCATGTCACCAACGTGCTGAAATAGCACGGTCGCTTTAAAGGCGTGCAGGTGGATTAAAACAAGCATAACATTTGCATGCTGATGATGGTTTGACTGGGCTGGCTTAAGGACAATAAAATGAAACCTTTGTATTGCTTTTTACTGCACCCACAAACAGTCGTAACAGGAGCAACTTCATTATATTGTATTGACATCCTGTTTACTTTTTCGGACCATTTATGTTCTCCCCTGAACACTGCGCAGTTTAGAGGGTATGCAATGTGAGATGTAGATTTAAATCGAAAAAGATTGCAGAACTGCTCACCCTGTTATTCTTCAACAATATAAAAAAAAAGACAATTTCTACTGTTGTTGACGAAACATTTAGTAACTGTTCTGCAGGCGTTGATTGGATCACACTATCTTCACAAGTAGATGGAGTTTGGCAACACTGCAATTGTAAGTTCACACTTGACCTTGGAAACAACAAAACAAACTCACCACAGGATTCATTTGGCAGCTGTCCTGAAGTTTCTAGCTGACAGTGTTGAAGAGCATCCTGCAGCGTTTTCTATCAGCGGTGTCCATGTCATTTCTGGGGGGAAAAGGGCAATAACTGGTTAAATTGTAAAATATAAAATAAATACATATGAGCAACATAGCTATGTATGTTTGCTGCATTTTTGATTAAATGCTGTTTTTAATATAAAATTATACCAAGGCACAATTCTGAGGGGATTAAACCCCTAAAATTTAATTTAGAAAAAGGTTTTGCAAACTCAAGAACAATGTTTTCTTATAGATCCAGGTTTTACGAGACAGTAGTCAGTGCATGTTATACAAAAGGGAAGATTTTATATTACAATGACATCTAGAAGAAGAAGATTCAACTTATTGTCATTAGGTATTATGTAATGAAACGGTTTCCCTGCATTTGACCCATCCTAGTGTTAGGAGCAGTGGGCTGCCATTATGTACGGCGCCCGGGGAGCAGTGTAGGGAACGGTGCCTTGCTCAGGGACACCTCGGTAGCACTTGGTCTTTCCGGGACTTGAACTGGTGACCTTCCAGTTGCCAAGCCAAGCTCCTATGGACTTCGCCACCACCCCTGCTAACAGCATGCCTGCACATTTCCTTGCAATTACACATAGGAGGTGGTCTGCGGGGGTCCCAGCAGCCCCCTCAACCGCCTCCCAATGACTTTCGTGCCCCCGGTCGACGGCCTTCTTGGCAGCCTCGTGCCTCAGAGCCTTCCTGGCGCCCCCCCAAGGGGCTCGGGACTATGCCCTGAAGTCCCGGGGCCGGTCGTCGGCTGCTTTTCCCAGCAGCAGCTCAGCTACTGGGCTGCCTGTACTTCCGACCCTTGGGTGTTTTCCACCCTAACCCAGGGATACGAATTGCAGTTCCGACGCCGGCCCTTAGCCTTCGGCCGGGTCAGAATGATAGTTATCAGCGATCTGGCGAAGGCCTTAACTCTGGCTCAAGAGTTGTTTGTCCTCTTGGCCAAGAGCGCAATCGAGCCAGTAGACCCTCTGCTTCAGTCCGGGGGGTTCTACTCTGCGTACTTTCTTGTTAGCAAGAAAGTCGGCGGATTCTGTCCAGTCTTGGACCTCAGAGGAATCAACAGATTCCTGAAGGTGCTGCCCTTCCGTATGCTAACACAGCAGACACCCTTCGTGTTTCGCACAGGGGGAGTGGTTCGCAAACGTGGACTTCAGGGACTCCTACTTCCACGTGCCAATTGCATCCCATCACCGGAAGTTCTTGAGGTTCGCCTTTCATGGCCGACACTATCAGTTCCGGGTGCTTTCCTTTGGTCTCTCCCTCTCTCCAAGGGTGTTCACCAGGGTCGTGGCGGCAGCTCTCGCACCCCTGCAGGCGCAGGGCGTGAAGGTCCTGCCGTATCTAGACGACTGGCTGGTCTGCGCGCCGTCCCGACCTCAAGTGGCCCAGGATACGGCGCGCCTCTTATCTCACGTAGCCCGGTTGGGCCTAACAGTAAACACTGGGAAGAGTTGCCTTGACCCTTCCCAACAGGTCACTTACCTGGGGATGGTCCTAGATTCGGTCGCCATGAGGGCCTACCTGACACCTCGTCGTGTGGACGACATTTCCCACCTTCTTCCCATCTTCAGGCTGGGCAAGATGGTGCCTGGGGGGCACTAGGTCCGCACAGCTGCTCCGGGTTTAACAGAGCCTCTTGTCTTGGGCGCTCCCCCGCCTGGCCAATCTGCGGGCAGTCTTTCTTCCAGGAGACCAGAATCAGGTCGCAGAATTCCTCTCTTGGCACAAGCCTCCACCGGGGGAATGGAGGCTTCATCCAGAGGTGGTGGAGTCAATTTGGAACCTTTTCGGAAGAGTTGAGGCACTGCCCCCTCTGGTTCTCCTGGACAGAGGTGACCAGCACGATGGGTCAGGACGCTCTAGCGCACGACTGGCCAGACAGTCTCCTGTATGCCTTCCCGTCACTGCCTCTGATAATACAGACGCTTCAGAGGGTCCTTACTCAGGGGCACAGGCTCCTTCTGGTCACCCCCCGCTGGCCGGGAGAGTTTGGTTCCCACAGCTGCTTAATCTCTGCTGCAGCCCATCATGGCGTCTCCCCAAGAGGAAGGAGCTTCTGTCACAGCTCAGGAGTTAGATCTGGTATCCCGACCCTCACCACCTTCAGCTCTGGGCTTGGCCTCTGCGGGGCCCAACCCGCTGTTGAGAATTTTCACGGCATCTGTCAGGGAAATTATCCTGAATGCCAGAGCACGATCCACTCGACAGCAGTATGAGTGCAAATGGAAGCTCTTCTCCCACTGGTGTTTGAGTAAGGCTGAGAATCCGGGGCATTGCTCTGTGGCCACCATTTTAGAGTTCCTGCAGTCCCTTCTGGATAGTGGACGTTCTCACTCCACTTTGAAGGTGTATATGGCTGCTATTTCTGCCCGACATGTTGGAATCGACGGCGCCACAGTGGGGTGCCACACTTTGGTGTCCTTCTTTCTGAGAGGGGCTCTACGGCAGCGTCCCCCTAGCACCCCGAGGGCTCCGGCTTGGTACCTGCCATAGTGCTGGATGCCCTATCATCTCCCCCCTTCGAGCCCCTGAAACCCGGGTGGGGCTTAAGTGGCTGTCCTTGAATGCAGCATTTCTGCTTGCCATAACCTCAGGGAAGCGAGTTGGAGAGCTACATGCCCTCCCCGTGAGCAATACATGCCTGAGGTGGAACTCCGATGGCTCGGGTGTTGCCCTCTGGCCAAATGTGGCGTTCCTGCCCAAGGTGCTTCCACTAGCCCACTCCAATCGGCCTATCCAGCTGGCACGCTTTAACATTCCACAGGAGAGCGGCACGCCTGAGTTGCTGTGCCCGCAAGAAGATTCTGGGAACAGATCCTCTGACGATGCCGGCAGATATAGCCGGTGTCACGTGGGTCACAGGTGACTTTGTTGTTATTGGTACTCGAGCTGTGCATGCGCACGATGGACATATCCAGTGCTAAAGCACCGCCTCTGGCGGTCATCCGGGACTCATAGAACCGTAGTTACAGACGTAACTATCGATTTATGTTGTCCTGCTGAAGGCACTTTTTTAGAATACACAATAATTTGACTGGGTCCTGTCTACAGTGGGGAACCTTGGTGTAAGCAATGAACTCCAGAACAAACTTCAGGACATGATGGTCATGAGGAATCTACTCTCCATAGGAAAGATTCTTGGAGAGGGTGAGTGAGCAGAGTCATTTAGAGAATTGTGTGGAAAACATTCATATTCACATGACTGATTTCAAAGTATGAATTATTCTTGATTTCATTCAATCAGGTGAATTTGGTTCCGTGGTGGAGGGGCGCTTACAACAACCAGACGGGACATCTGAAAAAGTTGCTGTGAAGACAATGAAACGTGAGCTTTCTTTTAAAGAAAAATTCAGTCCATCATCTATAAACTATTAAATTAGAAACAAAACAATACTTCTTCCGTTTTATTCTTATTTTTTTCAGTGGACAGCTTCTCTCAAAGGGAGATCGAAGAGTTCCTGAATGAGGCAGCATGCATGAAAGACTTCAACAATCCTAATGTCATCAAACTGCTTGGTATTACCTCTTTGTTTTGTAAAATCCCACTTTACTGTTTCCTGCAAATTTTCATGTCAAAGGTTTAATATCAGAGGTTTAGTGTGCATGTCCTTACATTCATTTGGTATTTTTTAGGTGTGTGCTTGGAAATAGGCCCAGGAAATTTTCCCAAGCCCATGGTCATCCTGCCTTTCATGAAATATGGAGATCTTCATAGTTTCCTGCTGCGCTCACGCCTGGGAGAGAGTTCTGTGGTGAGATTTAACGCATAATAAATTCCAGCTATTATACTTGATCCTTATTATTAAAATAAACGCAATAATTGTCATTGTGTTGCTTTGCTCATTTTTCTGCAGTTCTTGCCCACTCAGACACTCCTGAAGTTCATGGTGGACATTGCTTTGGGTATGGAGTATCTCAGTGGTCGGAACTTTCTGCACCGTGACCTCGCGGCTCGCAACTGCATGTAGGTTACAAAATGAAAATAATCTTAATATCGATTTTAGATTAAAGGCAAAATGTTCTCGGTCATTTTACTTTTTCAGCATGGTTCTGTGATTTGCAGCTCCCATTTATTCTTAACCCGTTCCTGCTTTTTGTTTTATAGGCTGCGTGATGACATGACGGTGTGTGTAGCAGACTTTGGGCTGTCTAAGAAGATCTACAGTGGGGATTATTACAGGCAGGGCAGGATAGCTAAAATGCCTGTAAAATGGATCGCAGTAGAGAGTCTGGCTGACAGAGTTTTTACTATAAAGAGTGATGTGGTAAGTACGTTTATCTGCTATCGTGTCTTCACCGCTATCATGTCCCTAAAAGAAGAACTGCCACTCTCTGTTTCGCTCATTACCGTCTGTTGCACTTTAAAGGATTTGTCAGGGGAATTCACACAGCAATAATTGGTCAGCCCTGTGTGGGAAAGTTTCTGTTTTACCGCCTCATTTATCCATGTGTGGTAATTTAGGATGTATGCCTTCTTTTACAACTTTTCCCTGTTTTTGAAATGATAGAAATCTAGAAGATTTAGAATAAACATTTTAGATTGAAATCCAATTGGAAATAATTCAACATGGTTACACATGGTTTTTCAATGGAATTGAATCGCGATGAAATCATATATCAAGATTCTGTGATACACTCTTACAGTGTGTTGATTGATGATCAAATGTGTCAGTAGCTCTGTGAAATGTTTTGAGGGAATCATTTTAAGATCGTGTTTTTGTCGTTACATCACAGTTCACATTACCATTCAGTTCAGTGTGATAACCAATGGTGTGTGTATCAGAATATTTATCACTTTTTTAACAGTTAGTCAGTAATCACTTGACATTTTAAACGTTTATTTTTCAGTGGGCATTTGGCGTCACCATGTGGGAGATTTCTACCCGAGGCATGACGCCGTACCCTGGAATCCAGAACCATGAAATCTATGACTACCTTCTTGAAGGACACAGACTGAAGCAGCCAGGAGACTGTTTGGATGAGCTGTGAGTGTTGTCACTTGTTCAAATATATGTTGTCTTTGGATTTGATTGTGTTGAAGTTGACATTGCCGAGTCATGATAGATTACAAAAATAATAACTAAACATTAGTTGTTTAAATCTTGCAGGAATGTTTAGGAATAAAATATGGGGACATTTCTTTAAAAGGTCCTCTGTGTTGCAGCAAACAACATGCTAAGCTTCAGCACATATAGAAGTTGTTTGCACTTGAGGTGCTGATACAGTACCTACTTTGTTCAGTTCTCTTTTTTTTGGCAATCATCCAGCGAGCAAAAATCATTAGTCAAAAACAACTTTGAAAACTTAACTGCCATGAGCAGTGAAAGTAGAAACTGCTTATGCAACTTGCACATAGGATCTTAAATAAATAGTATCAAAATTAATTGTATTTTCTTCTTTCACCTGTGTCTAGGTATGAGATCATGTACAGCTGCTGGAGGGCTGATCCACTCGACCGACCTTTCTTTCCCCAACTGCGAGAAACTTTGGAAAAACTCACAGAAAAGCTCCCGGAGACTTTCAGCAAGGACGATATAATCTATATTAACACCAGCTTTCCCGAAGAGGACCCTGATGGAGAATCATCAGCAGCTGCACAACATCCTGTGTTCAACTCGTCGCCTTCCTGCAGCCATCAGGCGGCAGAAAATTCAGTAGTTACTGCAGACATTCATGGTAGCCTGGAGGATGAGGAGGGTGAAGAGGATGATCGCTATGTGGTGGTGATATCCTCCCTCAGACCTCCTGCAGTGGACACTCCTCTTTTGTCAAGTGATGCTCGAATTCAAGCCAATGGAGTGACTGATGTGAGGGCTATGCCTCAACGGTCAAGTGACACTTCTTCCCTGCTGTAGAGATTGCAACCCAGCGGAACAAGACGGCAATACAAAACTGAAACCATCTGTACTAAACAGTATGCCTCACTGCACTGGGAGCACCTTCACAATTCCTTATGTGGACTTTCTTTAGAATTTTTATACGAGCAGTTTCTGCATCAATTGCTAGCCTACGTGTCAGTGTTAAGACATCAAACAGGTTCCATAAGCTTAAGAAACACTCTACTGTGAAATTGTTTACCGTATGCATTTTGTAATGTCATGTAAATATAATAATGTACAAAACACTTTTTAATGTGATCTCCTATATTGTAAAAAGAAACATGATTCATAGATTTCTTTAAGATTTCATTAAAATGAAATTAATTCTGCCAAGATGTGTTTATGTGTGTGTAAATCAAAACGGTTAATATAAAAAGAAAATATAGTAAAAGTAGCATCTGAAACAATGGGTTGTGTTGTAATACTCAAATACTTTACTGGAGTATTTCAATGTTGTGTTACTTTGTACTTCTACTCCACTACAACTCATAGACCAATGTACTCCACTAAATGTATTAAATACCTTTAGTTACTTTGCAGATTTGGATTAATAATGTGAAGTATAATCAACAATTAAAAGACACCTGGAGTAAATTCAAACGCTACCGGGTAGTAGCCTATACAAAGTCATTAAAACCAGCAGCACCTGCTTTGATAACACCTATCTGTTTTACTTTTAGACACTTTTAAACACTTTTGTATTTTTACTTGAGTAACATTTTGATTGAAGGACTTTTACTTGTAACAGAGTATTCCTACATTCTGGTACTTATACTTTTACTTAAAGGTGGGGTATGTAATTTTGGAGAAAGCAGCTCAAGTGCGCTAGAATTTGAAAGTACAAAAAATCTGCCTCTTCCTTCAGAATTCCTTACAGAGCCCCTCCTCCAACACACACAAACGCACACATGACCAAAAAAGAGGGCACGAGATAAGTTTGTGCACAGATGGAAGGCTGACAGGCAGGTAGGCCATCCAGTTATTTTACCCGGGCCGGTTCAGATGATTGGTCGTGCTTTTTACAGCGCCACGGCTTCCACATATGACATTTTTTAAATGTATTTATTGTCAAAGCATTTCATATATTCATTGCTATCGGGATGTTAAGAGCATTCCATGGAATATAACAAGTGTTTCTGAAATAAATTACATACCCCACCTTTAAGTACAATATATTTGTAGTTCTTCCACCTCAGGCCACCAATGCAAACTGCAAATACAATTTTCCCGGTGCGCTCCAGCCTCCAGGCTCCAGCAGCACACAGAATGGCCCGCCTGTGAGAGATCCTCCTCCCGGCAGCTGACTGCGACTCCTACAGGAAGTGTTCATTCCCACAACGAGATGGCTGCTGCAGTCAGAATGAGGACGTGGAGCTGTCCGACCTCAGGGGTTTTCTATCCATGGACTGTCCTTTTTGTAGCTTTACTATGTACTATAAATGCTGTTGTTGCTGCACCAGAGACGGGGCTTTGGAAAATCACAGTTGTAAATGTGAGTATCTTACCGGAAACACTCATTAACGACAGCACCGGTTAGCTAACGTTAGCTACATTAGCCTTGTTATGCTCGCTAACAGATGTGAGGTTTGGGACAGTGGTGACATCTGTTTTTAATTAATGGTATAACGTTAAACACTGTCCACTGGGACTTGCTGTCGTATAGGTTTGGATAAAGTATGTCTACCGCAAGAGCAGATTAATGTTGTAAGTTAATTAACATTGCCTTGTAGAGAAGGGCTGATATGCACTTTGAGGTTAGCCTTCGGTTAACGAGTGGCTACATCTTACATTGGACAGCTGTCAAAGACGCTTTGCCATGACACATCGTAAAATATTTGTCCCAGCCTTCTTCGTTTTAATAAACATGAAAACACACCCTGATATACAGCCAAGTGCTTGCACAGTGCAGTTTCTTCTTCTGGTGTTAAAGCACAGTTCCTAGTCTCAATCCAAACAGAATCAGAAAGCCTCGATCAATAATTTAAGTAGTGCAGTTTCAAATTCCCTCTGCTGTATTCTCTGTCTCTAGATCTTGTTTCAGTTTTAGTTGTGCTGAGAAGCAGGGTGCAACTTGGAGAGGTCACCAGTCTATTACAGTCGTCATACAGACATGCATACAAACCGATGGACAATAGTTTCTGTTTCCCCTCAACCTTTGCCAGATTCATAAACACAGATAAGGGCCAATTTTGTAATACAAAAAGTATCCTTTGTCTCAATCCAGCTCACTAACAAACTTTATGTATCCATACTGCAGACATCCAGACCTCTGCTGTTAAGGAAATCAATGTATAAAGACACCGACATTGAATTAAAAGGTAAGAAATAAAAAATATGCTTATACTGTATCATTACCTCAATGATACAAGATACGATATGCCCCTTTTTGTCACCCCTGTTCGTCATAACATGTGTCTATGTCTTTTAGTTGTGCGTTTCGGCTGTCCCGAGGAGGTGACCTTATCTATTCACTGGTATTTAAAATACTACCCCTGTCACAATGAATTCAACAATATTGAAGTAAGTTCAGAAGCATAATGTTATACTAGTTATCTTTATAAACGTGATTGTTTCAAAATTCTGAGGGTAGACTGTCATTGTCTGTAGGAAATGTACCCAAGAACACCGCTGAGTCGAGGGGAGAGCCTGGATCCAAATCCCCTCGGACAAGGAGAGTGCATCGAACACAGACATAGCCCAGTGACATGTAACAGTGGACTGCACTCCTTTCCAATGCTCAAAGTAGGTTTATTACAAGTCATTTTATAGTCACACACGTGGCATCATGGCATTTATTATCTCCCAATAACTCTCTGTGTTTTTCAGAAAGCCAAAGGAGATCCACGTCCAGTCGCTCCTCCTCGGAAGGGGGAACAGCCTGTAAGAAAATAAACCTGCTCTTTAATGTTCGTAATACTGTACAATACAATTATGTGAGTTTAAGTTTACAAAGATCCAAGAAAAATATTCCAGGAAACCAACAGAATGTATTCTTCCAGTTTTCAGTGTTTATTTTACTAATTAAGTTTTTATTTAAGTAGTTTTTACATACATAGTATAAACGAACACTGAATTACTTTTGTCATACCGCAGGATGAGAAATGGATTACTGAGGAGTATGACAGCAGCAGCATGGCTAAGAACGGGAGCGTTAATATCAACGACAACGTCATAGCAACCACGTGGAAGGACGGTCCTTATCTGCTTGTGGTTAAGTTTGAGTCTAGTAAACCGGAGGCTAACTGGAATTTAACAGGTGAGTTTATTTCAAACACACAAATACATTAGGAGAGACAAAGAATAACTTTAACGCCCTTATTTGAACTTTGCCCTGGAAATCCAGTAAAAAGCAAGAAGTGGTTTGTGGTGCATGAGTGTGCAGATATACTTCCCTAATAAGAAGCTGACTCATAAACGCAAAGCTGTTTTGCGCCAACACTGCCGTCTCCACCAGAACAAATAATAATGTGAATGTGTTGGGAATCATGTTTCAATATTCTAATGGCTGAATTTCTTTTCCAGTTAGTGTGGTGATGAAAAGCAGCCGTGGCTACATTTCGATCACAGAATGGCCTCTAATGATTGTGAGTAGATGATTTTAATAATATGATGTATATTTATTGAATGTGCCCATGATGCTTTCCTGGCTTAATGGAGGATAGTATTTAAATGTTTTGGGTACGTGCATATAAGTAATAGCAAGACCAAATATTTGGCTTACACTTCAAAGGGAAAGTTCACATAAACCCCCCCAAATGTACAGTTTTTGAATTCACTTAATATCAGTGAATTATGTTTCACATACTACATATTAATTGACCCCAAACCTCATCAATTTCTGTGAAAAGTCCGAATAGTACACAAAAAACCAAGATGTTTTTGAATGAACATTATATATTTTTCTGTATTTTGTAATAACTGCTCCTGTTGTAGTTCTACATGGTGATGTGCATAGTGTACATCCTTTACGCCCTGCTCTGGTTCATCTGGGCCGCGTGCTACTGGAAGGATCTGCTGAGGATCCAGTTCTGGATAGCAGGGGTCATATTTCTGGGGATGGTGGAGAAGGCTGTCTTCTGTGCGGAATATGAAAACACCAACACTGTCGGCTCAGCTTGTGAGTGTCTCCAGATCACCATTTCCCTTTTCATGTCAGTTATTCATATTTTCAGTTTTTCTAAATGTTTATTTCCCCCCTTCAGCTCCAGGCTTGTTGATCTTTGCCGAGCTGGTCTCTGCTCTCAAAAGGACTCTGGCTCGATTACTCGTCATCATTGTCAGTCTGGGCTATGGCATCGTAAAGTACGTCAATACTTATTTGAACACACACCTACTTGTTTTTTCTTTAAAACTACAATTATTGTACAAACAAAACCACTTTTTGACTTAATGTTTGTCTCCTTTCAGGCCTCGTCTGGGGCAGGTGATGCACAGAGTCGTGGGGCTTGGCATTCTCTACTTTGCCTTTGCTAGCATTGAAGGTGTTCTGAGGATAACTGGGGTGAGTTGTGATTATTAAACATAATTAGCTTATTTAGTCTGAACGCAGTGGTAAAAAAACATAATATTTAAAACAATTTATATCAGAAGAAATCAAACGCATCCTGAAATAGGAGAAGCTTCAACCAAAGGGGTGTACTATGAATGGAGATTATGACGGTTTGACCGTGCTGGTAAAAAATACACCAATTACAAAAGAAAAAATCTATTATTATACATTTGCTGTAAAGCTTAAGAATGTTTTGTTGCCACGTTTTCTCTCTTTAATTGTTTGCTGAAAAGAAGGGGAAAATAAAGTTGATAACCAGCATCAGGTATCCCTAACATGTGATTGATGTTTTAGTTTAGAACTATTTAAAAAAATCAACCTTGCATTGTCGTACTTTCCCTTTAGCTATTGTTAGTTGATAAATAACAAAACGTTTATTTGATGATTTATAAGTTTCTGATGATCAATGAGCAGCCTGATAGTTTCACTGCTGCTCAATTGATAATAACCTAATGATAACATGTCTTGAGAATGAACAAGGAGTTATTAAAGCTCTGTGGTTTGTTGTAAGGTTGTACTTTGAAGTAAAACTGACATCACAATCTTTGTATCTTTTTGGGGGGGGCCAAAAATCAAGGGACGAGACAATGGCACCGCTCTTATTACAGAAATAGTTCTGGCTGTGCTTGACTCCTGCAACATCTGGTTCATATCCTTCCAGTGTAAAGCTCAGCAGCAACATTGATCAATAGTTATTGTACCTTCATGTTGACATATTGAAGTTTTCTTGTCTTGGTGGGAGTTTTTGGGGTTTCTTTCTCTGCACTTTGGTAAATGGTTCTTTATTTCACTGGCCATGATCTCTCTCCTCTTCCTTTGCCTCCTGGTCCTGCTCTATCCTCCCTTCCAGGCGAAAGACTCTGACTTGGCCCTGCTGGCCGACATTCCCCTGGCTCTGCTTGATTCCTCTCTATGCTGGTGGATATCCTTTTTTTGCCCCCACAACCTTTTCCCTGTGTGGTTCCCCCCTGCTCCCCCCCCCCTCACATGAGCCCACGTTAGTCCAGGAGATGCTTCTCCCTTTCCCAGATTATTAGGCACCCTACTTACAGTACAACATGCATTAATATGTCATCATTCATTTATTCCCTGAAATTGATAACGGCTATTTTTTTTGTACAATTGAACTGCTCTTCAAATCTTACATTCTCACTGCTTCTTTTCTTGCACAGTCAATGGTATTTTGCTGTTCTTCCATTACTGGACTTTCTCGGTCTTAATTGGGAGAAGATAATTGATTTGCATGAGAACCTGCCACCTTTACCGGTGTTCGTGTGTGAAAATCATTCAATATGAGGGGCCACTAGGTTTGGCAATTTGGATAAAAGTTTAGTTGCAATATATTTAATTGAAAGTTATTAAACAAATGTAAATAATTTGTAATTGTTAATAGTTAAAGAAATCAAGTCTGTTTCTAATCCACCATATTCATTTTAGCCCTCGTCTGCTACAAAAGATGTTTGAGACAAAAAACGTTGCTTTTTGAAGAAAATGTCTCCAAGATTTGATTAGGTATAACAAATACAATTCTAATACGAGTATGGAGGAGCTTAAATTGAATAGATGAGTCTAACAAAACAGTCATTTTCTCCCAAAGACTTCTCTTCTTGTCCTTTGTCACAGAAAAGTCAACAATTACTTATTTTAACGTAACATCATTTTTCTCAACAGATTTATTTCATGCCAAATCATAATCTTTTACTCGACCTAACATAAGTCGTTTTGTTTTGTTTCAATTCAAAGCGAGTTATAAACTGACACTGTAGTCCTGGAGAAAATCTGGATTTGATCTGGAGTCAGCTTTGTAATTTCACATTCATTTGCTTAGTTATGGTTGGCAAGGGACTACTTTTCATTATCTTATTTTGTATATTTAAATCTGACTCAGGCCCTGGAGGAAAGAGTTTGTTTATAATATTATATTGAGGTTAAAGTCTCATACATAGATTTGTTTGTAAAATGGTTGCCCTGTAATGTTGCCCCATGTTTCCTTGACTGTCACTAACATCTTTGTCAGCCTGGCACAAACCATCAAGACTCTGAAGCTGAGGAGAAACCCCGTCAAGTTGTCTCTCTACAGGCACTTTACAAACACTCTAATATTTGCCGTCATTGGTAAGTGAATTACTCAACAAATGCTACTATCCATATAAAACCTGTTCAAACTGAAGTCATAATGGAGTATCCAGAAAACACACTGACATCCGTGTCTCAAACATTTCTTTCTCAGCTTCCGTCATCTTCATGGGTTGGATAGCAAAGAAGTTCCGGCTTGCAGATTGCCAGTCTGTGAGTATCTGCACTTTCATCAGCATTAAAAACAATACACTTACATTATATATTTAATTTGACTTATTTTTGTGTGAAGGATTGGATTGAGCTGTGGGTGGAGGATGCTTTCTGGAGGTTCTTGTTCTCCGTCATCCTGCTGGTCATAATGTTTTTATGGAGACCCTCTGCAAACAACCAAAGGTGAGTAACACATTAGGACTGTTGAAATTATAAACATGTGCAGAATTGGACACTTTTTAATGTGTATTATGAATCACTTCAACATCCACAGGTACGCTTTCACACCTCTCATGGATGACTCTGACGACGAGGAGATCGAGGAGTTTGTCGCCTCTACAAACATTGGTACGGTGACATCATGGGAGCGTTACCCAGAATACCTGAAACATTTACAGTGTCCAATATTATTGTGATGTACATATATTTAATATTTCCTATGTGTTTGGTCTTCACAGCTGAGGGCATAAAGTTGAGATCTAAAACTGAGACGAATGGCACAGTGAAGCCTGCGGAAGCAAACACAGTCAGTACCACAACGGCACACTTTTGGAATATATCATTTAAATAACTGTGGTTAATTGAATATGAAGCATTTCTGATAAGAGCAGCGTACCAAGTTTAGGAAAAGCGGCTGTAGAACTCTTCACATGTACCAGCAGATGGCAGTGTTTGCTTCTTTTCACGCCCTTTTTCCACTTGTGCAGGAGGAAGACTTGAAGTGGGTGGAGGATAACATTCCTAGCTCTTTTACTGATGTGTAAGCATCCGTTCACATTTCTATTCATTAATCTGCCAAAGTCTTTTCATACATGTGATTCTAACAGTCTCTCTTTGTTCCTGTTTGTTACTGCAGAGCTCTACCAGTCCTGCTCGACTCAGATGAGGTAGGAAAAACTTTAGAATCTATAAATATTTATAATAACAGGACCCGCACACCTTATTACTTTAACCAGAGACATCTGCTCTAAAGACGTGGAGAGGAGTATCAAACAGTATGGGAGAGAGATGTGCTCAATATTTTAGAGACTTATTTTGGACTTACTGTGTTGGTGACTATATGAGGACTGACTTCATGACTCTTTTTCTGACTTTTAGGCATATTCTTTGTTCATACCTTCATTGAAATCAAACACTTATTACCTGACTGTTCGCTAAAACCCTCCTTTGAGTAAGGATTGTCCAATGATAGCTCAGCAACAGAAACCTGTCACTCTTTGGATCGCAAATAATGTGTGTGACGGTATAATTAGACCAATATATAATAATATACTTTTTTTAGAGTAACAGCTCTAACACTGCGGCTTGTCCTGATAATTGGTCGTGACAACATCCTCTCCAACTGCTTGTGATGTATCATAGCATTTAAACCCTAAAGATCCAAACTACATCACAGTGGGATGTGGTCAGGAGCTCTGCCTGAAATTAGGGACCCATTGTTTAAAAAGTTCCTTCTAACCCCAGGTGGTACTGCTGCCACTGTTATTGAGAACTGCGTTAGCTCTGCCAGGATGGAAACCATGACAGGCGTAGCCAAAGTAACTGAGGAGATGTGAGGTGGTAACAGTATGTTGCTTCTGAAGTATAAAACACTGGTTTCCTGGGAATCACTGTCTAAAACTGAAATGTCAAATAGTTTGGACAATAAAGGAAGTTCCTCTTTGCTGATTATTTTGCAGGAAATCATGACGACCAGATACGAGATGTCAAAGCTGGAGTGAGGCGAATCCTTTCCAGACACGGAGGGAGACAGTCGGCCGTCCCTCGCTCTGCAGCAGGGGGTTCTCCAGGATTTCCAGGCAGGTGGTGGTGGAGTGCCATTTAGTTTTTCAGGGGATCTTCCAGTAAGGCTTCTCCTTCGCGGGGTGGTGAAGACCACAGTGTAGAGGGAGCTCTGCTTATTTCCTCAACTTCTCAAGAGCAAAGGACTCCTCCAGAGAAATCTTGTCTTTTCACTGACCAAAAGGTTCACCATTTTCCTTATTATTATTATTATTATTAGTTTAGAGCATTTCTTTCCAAAGAGAACATTTTCCTTTTTATAAGTGCTGTATTTATTTCTTTTATTTTCATATGGATTTATTTTATCAGAGAATGAGTAATAGTGGGCCTCATGCATGAACATAGTCTCAATTATACGTTAAGTGTCTTTTTGCGGGGAATCTAGATGTTATCGGTCTGCTGAAATTCGATAAGATGCTTATTTATTATGGGAAAATAATTAAAAGCCCTTTTTTTTCAGTAATTGAACCAAGGACTATTTATTTTAGCTGTGTTTGCAGCCAGAGGAGAGATAGAGGATTTATCTTCCATTTGTATATTCATCCATTTCAAACATTCATTTTCATGTGACTAAGTGAAACACATTTTTATTTTATTTTTTTCTTTGCCAACTTTAAAATGAATAATTCAAACACATTGACTTTGAGTAGATCATTTGCTTTTATGCACTTTGAAGATCACAGCTGTGAGTAAATGTAGTTCTTGTATGAGGCCTATCTGTTCAGGTAATTGAGAATAATGTGTGTGAAAGTGTTTAATTCTCCAGACATACTGAGTATTGGTGTGTGATCGGGGGGCGAGCAAGAAGCACAAACTAGTGATTTGTACAATTTAAATGTAATTGGGGGGTGTAATCAGGTTTTGATGACCCTACGTGTTTGGGTGGGCAAGTTTGTGTATTCTGAGAAAAGGAGCAATATACTGTATTTATGTCAACATGGAGTTAAAGCATTTCATTATTTATTTGTGTTCTAAGTGTACTTATAAGTTGTTAAAGAGTGTCTGTGCCTATGTTTACTCCAAAGTGTGTTTACAATGTGTGCTTCCTTTTCTAACTGCAGCTTGTTTGATTTATTATAGCTGATATGAAAATGTGGTGGTTTCAAAAGCACCGTAATAACATTTATTTTCTGTCAAAGGAGGCGTATCATTTCTGAAAATGGCTGCCCCAGTGTTTTCGTCTGTGTAGTTTTGCAACACTGTTGTAGTCTTAATGTCTGTTGTCTTAAGTAAATGTAACAGCAAGAAGTTTCTGTCTAGGCCATTCCTTATTATGAGACATTACATAAGTTATGTGGTTAGCATAAGCACAAGCTGATCACTTAAGCTTATAATGTCACTGTTCTGTTTTTTTTGTTTTGGATGGAAACCTGGAATAATTGTGCTTATGATGGCACGCTGTCCTTCTGTTATATAAAACTGCAGACACCTGCAGTGGACCTCGATTATTTGTACAGATGGGTTTTGGCTGATTCCTGTTATTCCATAATTCCACAATTCCACAGCTGGAGAAGTGTCTGGATAATATGCCTGTTCTTTTTTTTATGGGTGTCATGAAAAACCTTTCATACCAGCAGTTTTCTCCTCTCTTCCTTCTCAGGAAGTGTGTATGATCAGAATAAATAATCAAACGCAGGAGCGCGTTTGTTTCCTGGTCTTTGATTTTTCAGTATTAATTTGGCAAATAAAACATACATATTTTACCATGGCTGTGATTTTGCTGCATCATTTCAAATATGTTTCTTCTGTCTGTCTTGTGAGTACAAGATTCAGGAGTTCAGGAGAGGAACCGGAGAACAATCTGTTGAATGAAAGGGCTTTTGTGAGGTAAATGATGATGAATGACACTGAAATACTGAGAGGACATTTTGAATAAAACCAAGTTCCTAAAATTACCCTGAGTCTCAAGCCATCAGCCCAAAAAAACCTGTGAGCCAGAGTGCTGAAACAGAATAACATCCACAAACTGCCCAATGTATCAGACTTAATGACATTGCAAGTTATTTTATACCAAACCGGTTAAACCTCTCAAATATTTTCAAAATCAGAATCGGTTTTATTGCAAAGTAGGTTTACACATAATGGAACCTGCTTTGGTGTAAATGGTGCTTACGAAGAAAGGTGCAAAAATAGGACTATTTTAAAAGCTATCTTAAAGACTTGTAACAAATTATAAATTAAGACAATATTTAAACGTGAGGAACTGAGTACAGTAAAATAAAATATGACAAATACTATATTCTATGTGGAGAGCTGTGCAGGTTAAAAAAGTTGTAGTGTGGAGCAGCAATGTGCAACATGTTAAAAGCGTTGTGCAGGTTTTACAGTATTAAAAAAAACAAGACATTATTCGCCTGATGTGCATTAATGTAAAGCACAATGTTTTTATGGGGTTAAGTTAAAATGGCAGTTAAAAGATGAACTTTTATTCAACATGGAAAAATGCACTACCGGGTGTTGGACTTGTTTTTACCCTGTTCCATTCAAGAAAAAGAACCTGCCGTAGGCCTCTGCTGTTGTATTTGGCTCAAAAATACCTGAACTGCAGCAATACAATTGTGATATCCCCAATAAAACCACCATGATCTCTTTGTGGAGACAAACAGGAAAACATGGCCTTGTTTTGAGAAAAGCCCTGTGGGCCTCTGAGCCAGAGAGAAGTCCATCTGAGCAACCTGCTACAGGAATCCATTCATTCTGAAACAGCTTTCTTTGCAACCCAGCGTTTTTGTCTCTTTTTGTTATTTGTCTCAAAAATGAAAACAACGAGTGTCATTAATGTATAGCCTGTAATGTCAGGTTATAGGCAGCTTGAAAGTCAGAAACATTATAAAGGACATTCATTCTGCTTTGCTATACAGTGCCCTCACACATTTCTGGATTTCTTCCAAACATTTATCCCACATGAAAGATGATCCACAGGCGACCTCTCCCCTCTCCGGGATGAAATAAAAAAAAGTACAGCAAATTCCTCTACAGTACCTTTCATTCTGGACTAACACACCAGCAACACACACTTTTTTCTGTTTTGATGTGAATCCATTGATTCACTGCTGTTTCCCTTCAAAATGTTGTGTGGTTTTGTGATTTGAAATATATGCCAATTTCAAAAAGCATCTTAGCATTGACAATTACCAAGGCAAGACACTTGGTAACAGATGGATCAGAGAAATTCATTCAACAAATATACTAATATAAGCTTAATCACAATTGGTATTTACTGCAGGCCTCTGTATCTTTGTGTAAATCTACTCTACAGTATGTGTGTTTCTGTTATTTTTAGTGTGCACTCAACTAAAGAAGAAGCCTCTACAGAGAAATAAAGTTTCCACCCTTTGCCATTCAGACATGACTGTATATTTGTATATCACTCTCCAGCAAATGGCTTGTGTTATGTAGCTCAGGACTCTCCAGTTGTCTCTGGCAGTAATATATCCTTCCGCCTCCGAATGGATGAAACATGTGAACATCAAACAGCCTGAAACAAAGGCTGCAATGTGAGCCCTCCCGTTCTAGTTACTGAAGGAAACTACGCCTGCCACTAATGCACATTGTCATTCTCAGATCAGTGTGTACCGTTGAGGCATGTGTTTTGATTCTTACCATCCACTCTCTCCTGCAAGCATGTAGCTCTTCTGGCCCCTTTTATTGCAATTTTGAAACCCTGGATGGAGACGCGAGAGAAGGACAGAGTTAAGAGAACACATGTGGTGAACATTAGTCTCTTCTTTCTCTAACAAGTAGACACACTGAGATATGTTTCCCAAGTACAACAGTTACTGCTCCTTGTATAAAAGTTAAATCGGAATATTGTGAAACTCCTTTTCTAGAGAAATGCAGCTTTGACGTGTATTGTCTGTGAACTTCTGCCACAAGGATTATTTTATAAAAACACACATTCTTCCTCTTCAACCTTTCATCCATTCAGTCAGGAACGTTTTTTTTATAGCCATCCAGCGTTCATTCATCAACTGTGAGTCGGTTTGAATTTCGCTTGTTAAAATTCACTCATAATGGATGAAGAATGAAAACAAGCACTGCCGCAAGGACATTTAATAGCACGCTGTTCACTGTCAAGTGAGGTAGATCTAACAAAAACTGAAATGTTAGACTGACTTTATTTCAGTTATGCAGAGACAATTAAAATTCCACATAAATTGTGTAGTGCATTTGCCAAGCTTGCCAAATCATCTGTGATTTTGAGTATAATGATTTCTGGGTTACATACAGAAAATGAGTAATACAGAAAATATGCCCAGCTACAGTATTGGATCTACTGTTTTAAAAGAAACTCTCTCAGTATAATGGATGATACCTTAAACAAGAAAGGCTAGTACAAAAACAAAACAAATATACAGTATACGATGGAAGATAAACATGTGGCGTACAGTATGTCACAATGTAAAAACCAATAATATTTCCAATAAATTAGAGCCTCAGGAGCACTAATGTCTCAGGGATTTATCATTAACAAAGCGAGGGCAGTGCATCAGCCCCGTGGCCAGACCCTGAGCTACACAGACATGATCTTTGATAGACATTCAAAAAATACCAACGTAAAGCAACAGCAATCTCAAAAAACATACTTCCATCCCTCCCAACCCATTCATTATGCTTCTGATGATTAGCTAGTTTTCATCCATTCAAACACACTCAGACAAACGTCATCAGTCAAAGCTCTTACTGACATTCCCCAAAGATGCATCTATGATCTGTTCTGCCGTATATTGCTATTCCTAATATAACTGTTAAATATTGGCTTGTCTAAGGAAGCCCTGAGAGGCAAGTAAGAAAAAGTGATGTTGATGGTAATGACTTAAGAAGAGGTGAAAAAAGTATCTTCACTGGAAAACGCTGCTCCTGAATCAAGTAAAAATAATTATGAAAACAAGGTGTTTTCGCTTGTAATAAGTAAACACATCTGCCAATAGAACAAGTAAACGTTTGCTTGGTAAGATTTCTTGAATTAAGATGGGATATTTAGATAAATAAGATCTTGTAATTAGCTGGGAAAACGTATTTTTACCAGAATCAGGAAATTATGTGTAAAAAAAATGAGCCAGAAATGCATTTCAGTTTTCTGATGTTTAGTTGGTGATGTTCCAACAAAAATGTGTTTCCTAAAATCAAGTAATAAATATTTCTTGAAAGAAGGTGATCCATCTTTCACAAATACCACAGCATCTTAAAAACCTTGTGACATGTCAAAAAAACTTAATCTGAGATACAGCTGAAAATAAATTTTCAATAGTCTTTGACTTAAAAAGATACATGCATTGTCTAAGAACAAGACCCTGTATCTCACTGCATAGTTACTTCTTAAAGGTGGGGTAGGTAAGTTTGAGAAACCGGCTCGAGATAAACTTTTTGTTATATTCCATGGAATGCTGTTAACATCCCGATAGCAATGAATATCTTAAGTGCTTTGACAAAAAATCCATAAAAAAATGTCATCTGTGGAAGCCGTAGTACTGTAAAAAGCACGACCTATCATCTGAGCCGGCCCGGCTAAAATAACTGGATGGCCTACCTGCCTGTCAGCCTTCCATCTGTGCACAAACTTATTTCGTGCCCTCATTGGTCATGTGCGCATTCGTTTGTGTTGGAGGAGGGGCTCTGTAAGGAAGTGGCAGATTTGTTCCGGTTGTGTATTTTTAAATTCGAGCGCACTCGAGCTGGTTTCTCCAAAATGACCTACCCCACCTTTAAGTACAGTAACAAAGTATTTGTACTCCACTACTTCCCACCTCTGTTAGATTGAAAGGCCTCATGATGCACATGGATCTCTTTTACAAAATAATAACGATCATGTGTTTTCGCCGTGTGTTTTTACCGAGGTAGTCGTCGAAGGAGAACTTGTCGTTGTCCCAGATCTGGATGGTGAGTTTCGGAGCCACTTTAGTCTCGGCTTTATCCAGACTCCAGAAATGTTCCTGCAAACACACAGAGAGAAATCAGAGGGAATACAAGAGAGGATTTAACGCAAAGTTACACAAAAAAGTGCCTTAATTTAGCTTCAAATATTCAAGTATTTGACAAAAAACGTCTTTAAACATTATTTAACTGTGACCTAATTTAAATTCAGTGTCTAACCACAATGATGTAATGGCTTTATATTTGCCAAACGTCTTGTATGTGTCTTATTTATTTATTTTTTAATCCTAAATACCGTTATTTTTACCACTTATTTTATTTTGATATCTTCAATATGTCTGTTTTAAACACTTTTAGTTTGGTAATTACCTTTGGTATCCACTGTTAGGAATGCTAACAAAATACATAAATAGAAAAAAAGATTGGCTAATTTCTTCTTCTATGTTTTATTTCCAGGTAGTGCTACTAAAATAAAACCATAAACGTTGTAATAAAACTTTCGATGACAACTGATGGAAAATGAGACAAAAGAGAGGCAGTCCATCAACACATCTCTGTGTGTGTGTGTGTGTGTGTGTGTGTGTGTGTGTGTGTGTGTGTGTGTGTGTGTGTGTGTGTGTGTGTGTGTGTGTGTGTGTGTGTGTTACACCATTATTCCCTCTTCACACTGAGCCTGCAGACAGTCTCTGATCTCATCTCGGTGCTAATGGTTTCTCCTCTGCTTCTCTTTCCATTCCCTCTCCTCTCTCTACCTATCTGTGCGTGTCACACTCTGTTGTTGTGTTAAAAGAATATGGCTTTTCACACCTGAAATCAAATCGCTCTGATG